TCCACCTCCCTGGACGATTGATCTTCCCAAGTGTAATACTCAATTGATCGCTCTTTCGAAGCATAGTTCACCGTCAGTTGTTACACAGAAATCATTCTCAGAGTTAGTCGCCTCAAAATATCAATCTTTCAACCACATATATACAGACGCTTTCAAAACAAATGATGGGGTTGGTGCAGCAGTTATAATGAACACGACAAATAATACTTACCACCTACCACCTGCTTCCAGTATCTACACAGCTGAACTTCACGCCATTGAAACTGATCTAGCACACTGCAATAGAAACGTCAGTGATATTCACGGACTCGCTTAGTTCAATACAAGGACTTCAACAACTATACCCCAAAAATGTCATTCTTCTTCGGATCAAAAGAGAACTTGTAGAACTAACCAACAACAGAAAAAGAGTGGAAATAGTCTGGGTACCATTTCACACAGGCATTAAAGGCAACGAAATCGCTGACGCAGAAGCTAAAGCTTCCATTACATATCCAGGTATATATCAAAACTCCCAGGTTCCACAAAAAGATTTATAAAACGACATTAAAAAACTTATATTCAAACGATGGAAAGAACGGTGGAGCTTCTTAACCCCCAATAAACTCAGATATATCAATTCAAACCTAGGTATTAACTACTACCGCCCTCTCAGTCGTAGACAGCAAGTCATTGTCACTACGCATTGGCCACACCCGGTATACTCACCTACATCTAATCAAGAAAGAAACACCCAACCGATGCCTCAACTGCAACGTTGATCTAAGTGTTAAGCACATTATCATGGAATGTCCCAGCTACCAAAACGAAAGACTTATACCCGGCTTAGGAAATGAATACTCCAGTATTCTAGATATCAAGAATATAGAAAAATGAAAAACAAAATTTCTAATATGATATAGAATATAAAACACCTTATTGTTCCACCGCTCATAACCTAGCTGGTTAATGCGGTATAATTGAAATACAAAAAATTGCACTTCAACATTGCTCCTTTTTCCTGCTACATAATGGTGTTCTCAGATTTGCTATCCGACGTTTGGTCTTCAGGTCACCATCATCAACTTTATTTTTTCTCAAGAGCGCTACATTGGATTCTTTCTGTTTTGAATAGAAACAGATTTCACCTTTTTCAATGATGAATCATAATTCATCATTCTTTTTCGAAAAGTTGATTCTTATCATAATAGGCTTTGACTTTGATGTTTCTAAATTAGACTTTCAATTCGTTACACTCAATGACAATTTTTTATTGTACAAGTCATTGAATTTTTAACGCAAAATGGCTTTCATGAATGAAGAAAAAAAGATATGATACAAATTTATTACAAATACGATAGAAACAGTGTTAGCACATCGGAAATGTATTTAAACTTGTATCCCGAAAGACGACAACCACATCGAACTATGTTCACGTTATTGGATCAAAATCTCACCGAGTTTGGTTCATTTGAAAAGCCGAGGAAAATATACGCAGACAGAATGGACCAGGAAACTAAGGAAAATTTAATGAATGAGGTATGTATGAGGTAAGTTAGACATTGTGTCCTTTTCAATAACAATTAATAATTTGCATGAACCTGGAGAAATCTACACGACAAATTTTCTCCGAAATGAATATTTGTCATATAAGTGCTTGGAGACTTATCTCAAAAAAGCGGTTTAAATTAAAATGTTACAGAATATACATATCTCAAAAATTGCATCCCGGTGATCCCGAAAAGCGATTAGATTTATGTAATTGGCTAATAAGAAGACCTGATTTTCCTGTTTTCTTGAAAAATGTAATTTGGATAGATGAAATCAGTTTTACGAATTGTGGGATATCCCACCGAAATGACAAACACATTTGGAGCATGAATAACCACCTGGCAGTTCCGAGAAATTTGACATCAAGTGCGATTTAGTATTAACGTGTGAGCAGGAATTCACAAAGATAGAAATTTGGGTCCTCATTTATTTGGTGGAATCTGAATAGAGAAACCTATCAACAGTTTTGCCTGTCGATTTTTGAAGACTATTTGGATGGTCTACATTTGGCTAACTATAACAACATTTGTTTTCAATATGATGATGCTCCACCGCACACTACCAGACGAGTATCTAATTACCTGTGAGGTGAGGTGGCCAGCAAGGTCTCCAGACTTGAGTGTTATGGATACATTCTTATAGGGTACACTAAAAAATAGATTTTATGGTCAGAGGATATATCAAAATATTGAGGACTTTTAACACAGCATTGTTAGAGAGTTCGGAAGATTGAGAAGGATAGAAATTAATCGTGCAGTGAATGATATTCGAAGAAGGGCAGAGTTGTGTTATCATTAACAAGGCCAACATTTTGAGCATTTGCTGTGCTTTACTTTTGTCTTTACATTTTAGTTAATTATTGTTCCTTGTTCAAAGTTCTATTTTCATTGAAAAAGACACAATGTCTAATCTACCTCATACAAACCTCATTTATCAAATTTTGATTGTTGATTCTGTCTCCGTATTTTTCCATTGGCTTTTCAAACGAACCAAACTCGGTGAGATTTAGATCCAATAACTTGAACATAGTCCGATGTGGTTGTCGTCTTTCGGAATACATGTTTAAATACATTTCCGGTGTCCTAACACTGTTTCTTTCGTATTTGTGATAATTTTGTATCATTTTTTTATAGAAGCCATTTCTTGCCAAAAATTCAATGACTTGTACAATAACAAAATGTTATTGAGTGTAACAAATTGAAAGTCAAATTTAGAAACATCAAAGTCAAAGCCTATTATGATAAGAATTATTTTTTTTCAATATCTCTAATTTTTCAGGGAAGAATGATAACTTGTGATACATCATTGGAAAGGTAAAATCTAGTTCTATTTTCTATCATTAAAAAATATCCGCTTCTCACGTTGACGATGGGACTGGTATTTCAATGGTGTGGAAATTTGGCTCAGTCAAATTTCACCCTGTTTGACACTGAAAAACGTTTCCATCATTATTCTTACCACTCATATTATCGATATATTTTTGCTAGGTCCTTTTCAAAATAGTTTTTAGCGTAATAACAATCATCATACGGATCATAAACCCATACAAAATTTTTGTAAACTATTTTTGGTGCTTAATTTGAAGCTTCTCTTTGTCGATATCCTTCTCACAGAAATTGGTATGGAAAAAAAAATCCAAAAAGTAGTGTGACGAGAATTATTAACATTTGCGGTTCACCCACTCAATGTTACTCGCAGCATTCCACAAAAAAATGTATCATCAGTACCTGAATTGACAAAATGGTTTAGACTTTCACGGCTGAGGTTTTCAGTGTCATTTCTTTTCGAGTTTGAAAGCTGTGGATTTTCGGAATTTCTTCCTGACGTTTCGCTGGCGCGAGTGGCTAGCTTCTTCAGAGGTTTAACCATCATGGCTTGCTGTCCGATGACTACTTTTTCGGCTTCGTAAAATGTATTTATGCCTTGTCAGGTAATCAGTTGTATTTGTACCTGTATTTGTATCTGCATTCGTACCTGTACTCGTTCCTGCACTTGAACTTGGAACATTAACAATCAACAATCTTGCTGCCTGTTGTCCTGTTCGTTTTTCTCGAATTCCTTAAAATGGGGTTCCATATTTGATTGAGGTGCACCGCTTCTTCTTTTCGGTTGAAATTCTCTGTATGTTTGTGGATCTCTATTGCCTCCCGTACCAGTCGGCTATGATATCCCTGGTTGAGGGCAATTAGTTCTGTGTTTTCAAATGAAATTGTGTAGTCTCCTTCACTAAGTGCGTGTTCTGCCACAGCTGACTTGTCCGTTTGGCCTAGTCTGCAGTTTCTTTTATGATCTTTTAGTCTTGTTCCCATGGATCGTTTGGTGGTTCCGATATATACCTTTCCACAAGTGCACGGTATGCGATAGACCCCTCCTACTGATAATGGTCTCTTTTGTCTTTAGTCAACCTGAGGCTTTGTTGTATCTTACTCGTGGGTTTGAAGACTGTTTTGATGTCGTGTTTGCCCAATAGTTTTCCAATTCTCTCCGTTACCCTAGGAATGAACGGTAGATATGCACGTGCAACCATCTGATCCTTTTTCGCTTTCTGAACTGTGGTGTTCTTCGGTTTCATGGCTTTTCTGGTCTCGGAGGCACTGTATCCATTCGATCTCAAGGTCACTTCAAGGTATTTCAGTATCCTCTCCAGATGTTCTGGTTCACATATCCTCCGAGCTCGTTCCGTTAGAGTGGAGATAACTCCTCTCTTTTGGCTAGGATGGGGGTTCGATATTGTGTGCAAGTATCTATCTGTGTGTGTGGTTTTTCGATACACTTTGTGGGTTAGTCTGGTATCACATCGTTCTACTAGTACATCTAGGAAAGCTATCCGTTGGTCTTGCTCAATCTCCATGGTGAATTCAATGCTCGAGTGTTGGGCAAGTGGTTTAGGAAACGGTTCAGGGCGTCTCTTTCATGTTACCAGATGACGAACGTGTCATCCACGTAACGTAGCCACAAGGTCGGCTTCAATTCAAAAGTGTCTATCGCCTTCCCTTCAAACTGCTCCATGAAATAATTTGCAATCACTGAGCTAAGTGGACTCCCCATCGCAACGCCATCTAGTTGCTACTAGCAACTACTAGCAACTAGATGTATAGAAATCAATAAATTCAAAAATTATCAATATTGAATTAATTTCGAATTGATTTGTATAATTCTTCTATGGGGAATTTGTTATTATCACGTTATCTTACTCAGCTTTCCTGAAATATTTGCTAGGTAGTAATCATCAATGGATTGACTTGTTTTCATTTATTTTTTCTAGTACATATGTGGTTTTTTCATTTTGGTAAATCGAGTCTGGAAGTGGTTTTTATCTATTTCTCGAAATTTTGAGATGAATATCTGAATTTCGAGCTTAGAGTCGAAATTTCGGACATAAAGTCGACATTTTCAAGAAACATACGGAAAAAATATATTGCCCTCATGGCCTTACGTGGAAGCTAATAACATGATTTTTGATTTTTCAGGTAGAAAATGGCGAGAAATGCGACCTATTCTCAGCCCATCGTTCACTAGTAGCAAAATGCGAACAATGTTTGTTCTGATTTCGAAATGTTCTAAGGACTTCGTCAATCATTTTCTCAAGAAAGACCAAGACTGTGTAGAAATGGAAATGAAAGACACATTCACCCGTTTTACTAACGATGTTATAGCCACCTCTGCCTTTGGTGTGAAAGTCGATTCACTTGAAGAACCAAATAATGAATTTTATTCGATGGGAAAGAGGGCAACAGATTTTTCAGGATTCGCAATGATGTTGAAGTTCATAGGATTTTTCGTGGCTCCTGATCTTTTAAAGGTGAATGAAAATTTTTGTTCACAACCTTCTCCCCAAATAGAAAAACTGAATCAGGTTCTACTCTGTGAGCAAGTGGCTCAGTGATATCCCAAATAGAAACTTCGAATTCAGTTGAATTTTTTCCATTCAAATGCAATCCAATGTACAAGATGTTCCCTAACTACAGTACGAAACTTCATAGGATGATCGTTTCAAAAAAAAATTTTTCATGAACATATGTCCGAAGTTGCTCTGTTTCTTAGACACAGGGCATTGAAGTTGAAAAAAAAAAACGGTATTTATGAAATATCATAAATATCCTTACACGGTTTCGATTGAAATTTGCTATAGTTATTTCAAGTAATGAGGCGCTCATTCACCCCTAACTAGATCGGAATTATTAGGTCCAGTGGAGTCCCAGTTGGCACCACAGTCAACAATATTGGAAAAAAAATAAGCCACTGACTTGTGGTTGTAGTTTGTTATATTTTTTAATTGATCAACTGAAAATACAACTTTTTCGTCGCTTGTACTTTCTTCATATCTAGCTTCGTTTTCGATAAAAAAAATTATATTTTTTTCAGATATACAAAGAACTCATTTATCATTTTGCAATGACGTTGCGGTTAGATTTCTAAGGTTGAATTAAGTTTTTCGACTGATTGCGAATAGAGTAATTTATTGATCCTGTCGATTATAAAAAGTTCTCTCGGAGAAAGTGAGTTTGTTATTGAGTATAGTTCATTCGTTGGATCAAATATGGAAAAACAGTCATATTTGTAGAAATTTCTACTGAATGTTATATATTCAACAAAAATTTGATGTGACTCAGAACATGTGAAACCAAAAAAGTTCTTTGCTACTATCGGTTTCAATCCAGAATACCGTTTTCAACATATCGTATCAACATTTTATGGATTTTTTACCTAATTTATTTCATCACGAAGGAGTTTGGTACAAAGCCTCCAAAGAAATAGCTTCAAATCTCACTTGAATGTGTTTTCTGAATAGATTGGATTTGGGAATGAGAGTACTGTCAGACTTTCATATTTCACATATCCAAAAGATGATTCGACTGAAGAAATGTTTGATGAATAATCAGTGTAAAATTAAAACCAAAACCGATCCTTCAGTTTCGCGCTTATGATTTTCATATTTATGTCCTAAATTGAAATTTCTTATAGTATCTGCGGATATCATTCATGGATTCAGCAGTTAACAGATTTTTCTGCGATCTGGTTGATAATACCATACAAGTTCGGGAAAAAAACAATATAATTCGACCTGATATGATTCATCTATTGATGGAAGCGAAAAAAGGAGTTCATCACAAAGATGAAAATTCAGGCGTGGATACAGGATTTGCCACAGTTGAGGAAGCTGACCTTGGTGAGTATTAGATATATATCTGTATCATATTTTACAAAATTAAAAAAACTTTATTCTGTTCATCGAGAAGTGTAGCACTTTATCACTTGAATCAAATAATCAATCACACAAATAAATCTTCCTGGCAGAAAACTATTATAGGATTGCTGAACATCGACCTGTTTCCTCATAGCACTGCCATACTTGAAATAGATGAAACTTTATAATGAAAATTAAGAAATGATACTTTTTATATATTTGTATCTCTTTTATTGGGCTACTGACAAAAATTAACTGAGATAAATATTAAAATCACGCGAAATCTTACTTTCAATGAGAATGAAATAATAGAAAATTATTAATTAGTTAAGGCTTTCGCGGACAAAATTTTCATTGTTACTATCTTCATTTTGTTGTGCTTGGTATTATTGAGGCCTTCTATCGTGCGTGGCATGAGAGGTTTGCTGGACAAACTTCGATGCAGCTTCCTGCTAGAACGTTCCCTGCAAGTGGCCGTCGATGGATCGATGAATATCTCTCGAATACATTCACCATTAACTATGGTGTTCCCCAGGGAACCACATCGTCTCCAACCCTCTTTTTATTTTATATCAACGACTCATTGGCAAAAACCCAAAATCCAGTACATTGCTTTGCTGACGACAGCACACATCTGCTGCGGATGCACATCTCCACCGGCAGCAGGAGGTTGAATATCTTGATGAGGATCTAGAAGTAATTCCGAATTGAGGTAAAAGTAACCAGGTTCGATTCAATGCCACAAAAACCTAGACATAGTTTTCTCCAAGAAAATAAATGTCTCCGAACCGTATATAATAATATAAGGTCAGACAATTCCGCATTCTGCTTCGATGAGTTTGTTGGGGGTTAAAATGGAAACCAATATGTCTTGGCACAATCATGTCGCTGGAATTGCAAAGACTGCTCCTCAAAAGTTCGGAACACTGTTTCGAACCCGGAAACTGTACACACCTCAGCAACTTTTGATGCTTTATAAAGCTCGTATCAGACCTTNTTTAGAAACACCTAACCTAAACCTAACCCAAACAAAACCCGCTGTTTTCATACCATCACATTTTGAATTTAGCTCAGCTTTGCCGTAACAAAGCAACTGCGCAGGTCCGTCAGCAGCAATCCGAGAAAAATCTTCGGACTGATCAAGCGGCTGGAAATCAGTTGCAAATCGATCAGAGTTTTAGTTGGAACATGACATTCCTAGTCAGAATTTCGGAATCGACTCTTGTTGGAACGGAATATTTGTTGTGCGCATGCTTCTGACAGTTTATGACCGATCAGATGTGTTGTTGGAACAAACCTAATACCAACAGCAGTCGTAGTCGAAGCGTGAGCCATAAAAAACTGCCGATGCCGGCCATGAAAACGAAAATAGCTCTGACAGTGTATCATCAATCTTGTAAGCAATAACACGAACCTTCGAATTCCAACAGACGACAATTCGAAAAAACAAACATTTTCAGCTTTGTAAAAAGTTATCACCTGCCTTGAAAGTTCATACTGATAGATCTATTATCATATCTGCAGCGCATTTACACAATGAAAAAACTGAAAACTTATATATGTTCCCCATTCTGAATATGCCAATAAGGCAGAGAGAGTTCTATCAAAAAGTTGTTGAATGAATAAATCAACGGCAAAAAAAGTTGCACCGTTGCTCATAAATCCTCCATAACAAACTACTAGCTGAGAACTGAAAATGTTCTTGTGTCAATTTATTGAGTACCACTTCTGGTAGACATGCCAAAGAATGCTGAGCTACTCGTTGTTTTTTCTATTCTAGAATATATGTCGAAATATAGAATTGGTTTCATTTTTTTCAGGAAAAGGGCAAGCCACTGAACTAACAAACTCTGATATCACAGCTCAGGCTTTGCTATTTTTCTTTGCCGGGTTTGATTCGGTGTCTTCGCTCATGTGCTTCATGTCCCATGAGTTGGCTATCCATCCAGACATCCAAACGAGATTAAGAAATGAAATTGAAGACACACTGGCGGAATGTGGAGGAAAAATAACATATGAAGCATTATTGAAAATGAAATATATGGATATGGTTATATCAGGTAAGAAGACGATCGTAATTTATATTTTCTGTATTTCTGATTGACTGATACCATTCAACAAAATGCCAAATAATTTTGGCACAGTATAGGGAAAAAAATCCAGATCAATTAAGAAAACAATACACAACAAAAAAAAATAATGTTACAAACCGAAAAATTTGAAATTGGACGAGTTCAGAAAAAAAAAATCAGAAGAATTTGAAGAAACGGGTTTTGATAGGTGTTCAATCCGTAACACTTTAGAAGAATTTTTTTAAAAAATTGAACATTTCTTGTTGAACTTCATAAGAAAAAAGATTTCATATCACTCCTTAATAATTTTGATATATCAGTCATGAATCTAGTACAAAAATTGAAGAAAAAAGCCCGGTCTGGTAGGCCGTGGTCGAATGGAACATGCAGTAACAAACGTTTCGTCTGCTACTACGACAGACAGACAGCCAGTGGTATTTTCGTTGACTACTAGGATGAATATTGTATCTCGAAGTCTCAGCAACGAGTGACCGGGGAGCTTCGTGTTCCCTCGTATTCATAATTTCAGAAGCTGATGGGGGTGATGTAAAGGATGGCGGTGGGAGTGGATTTGAAGATGTTGGTAGGAGTGAGATGTCCATGTGAATGCTCATTCCTGAGTGGTCCGCACTTTTCCTGGGTTGTTCAGATTGGTCCACGTTGATGACAGATACGCTGCTGGTGAAAAGTCGATGAAAGCTATATTTCAGTGCATTACTGACATTATTGAGTACAAAACATCACGTTCTGTCAACCCGTATACCTTCTTTTTTACTGTTGGAATTGTTGGGATGCTTGTAGTTCTCAATGGCCTTCCTATGAAATAATTCGTGTTGATGCGTTGATTCGGAAAGGACGGTAGTTTAATGTACTTTTAACGTGATCTATTACTGCTAGGACATGCTTTGCGATTGCGGATTTCTCTGACTACATACGGTGGCATCCGGGTAACCTAGTGCGGAGGTATTAATGCTGCATCCCAACGATCTCAACAGCAGAGAAAGAAGGTATACGGTTCAACATAACATGATATCCAGTACTCAAAGAAGCAAGGAATAGACCAAAATAAAACTCCGATAAATATCCCACCAGCAACGTAGCCATCAACACCATGGCCAACCCATCAAGACTGTGAACTAATCGGAAGTGAGCATCTGCATGAAACACCGTCATCCCCAACACCCTTTGAAATTTTAAAACGATTGAACACGGAGTGCGCCAGTCAGTCGTTGCTGACACTTCGGAATATAACCTCTGTCCTCTTAGTCAACGCACATACCACCGATGACATCTGGCGCAGTAGCAGGCGAAACGTTTGGTACTACAAGTTCCATTTGACCATAACCTAACAGCTCGGATATCGTTTTCTCTGAGTATGATCCGGCCGTGAGGGCTCATGTTCTTATAGTATAATCAAAATACAGTCTTCACAAATTACAATAACTGAAAAGGTTGAGTTTTTGTAGCCTTCATCAACGCATCCAATTTTATTTCAGAATCTTTGAGGAAATGGCCAAGTACTGTATCAACAGACCGAGTTTGTACGAAACCTTATACGATAGAGGCGATGAATGCAGATGAAAAACCACTACATATCGAAAAAGGCATAACACTGATGATCCCTATGGTAGGAATACATTATGATCCCAAATATTATCCAGATCCAGAACGTTTTGATCCGGAGAGATTTAGTGATGAAAATAAAGGAAAAATCGACCCCTTCACCTATATGCCCTTTGGACTGGGACCAAGAATCTGTATAGGCTCTAGATTTGCTCTTCTAGAAACGAAACTGTTATTTTTCCACCTCTTATCGCATTTTGAATTGGTTCCTGTAGAGAAAACTCAAATTCCACTGAAACTGTCTAAATGGACTTTCAACCTAATGGCAGAAAAGGGGTTCTGGCTGGGCCTGAAACGATTGCAGAAATAAATAAGTTATTTGTCAAAATTCCAACTATCACTTGAAAATTGTTATAAATAAAATTAATATTACTCATAGTTCAATATATATTATGCAGGATGCAGAGTGGTGCATGCCCGATACTAAATATACATGTAAAGTGCTATAGGCCAAAGCGGGGCCTCTGACATGTATTTATAGGCACGCGCCGCCGACCCCCCGGTCGGTACCACCGCAACCGCTATGTCCCTACATTTCAAATGTGTAATATCTTCGAGAATATTAATTCAAATCACATACTGCGAAAGACCATACTGATCTTTATTAAATACACACTTTATTTGAGGTACTCAATTCCACATGAATTATTGCTGTATTGCTTAAAATCGCTTCGTAAATGAGCCATTATTTCTCGACGATAAAAATGGTTATTGTGGGTTATCCCAAAGAGATAGACATATACCATCGCGAATTTTTCTGACCGTCTTAAGGTACAATACTGTAGTACATTTTTTCATCTATCTCGTAGGGTTCAGCCAGCGTTTGCAATGTGAGCACAAAAATATGTTTATTTACGACATCACATTGGAAACATCTGGAATTATCAGTATTTCTCCACCATCTTATTCATGTACATATAAACCTTCATATTGAATCGCTCTATCTATTGAAAATCCGTTGCGGGAAGCGACTTTGTTTCATACTATGTGATGCTGGAAGATCTGGTATTCGTGAATGACTTGTCCGTTGAGGGTGATGTTTCCTTCCGAGTGTACCAGCCTCCGGGTGAACAATATCGCCTGACCCTTGTCAGGGTTTATACTGATATTCCAAAGGTTGGCTCAATCCTCTAGTCTATTCGCCTGCTGTTGCAAGTATCTAGTGACATACGCTTGGCTTGTTGATCTCGCCAGCAGAGCTGTATTGTCCACATTAAGTGCCAGCTGGTTAAAGTTGTTCTCTGGCTCTGGTCTGCTATGTATACCGAGAAGAGGTGTAGCGAGAGGAGTGCACCTTGTGCACATGGTGGAGAGTTATTGCCTTACTCTGCAGCGGCATCACCTGTCAGCTAGAAAAGATTCGAATAATCTTACCGTTTGTTTCGAGTAGCCAAAATTGCTCATTTCAGCTAATAGTCCGTCATGCTAAACTCTGTCGAACGCCTTGGAGACGTCAAGGAATCGTTCGAGGTTGAAACGCGAAGTCTACTACCCTCAGTACTTGCAGCTCTGTCGAGTGTTCACCTAGTAAGATTCGCAGTTCACTGGTTTGGTCTTCTATTCTTTTCAAGATGGCTCGTTCTGCCACTCTGCTTATGGAAGGCCAATGGAAATATGTGATTCTTCTTTGGCTTCGGGATTTGACTGACCGTTGCCTCCTTGCGTCATTGCCGCTCTACCCTTCCTTGGTAGAACTTTCAGTGCCGATTTAGTATCTGGTCCGGGCCTGGGGCTTTTTGAGTGGCTAGGCACCTCACGATGCCTTTTACTTCCTTGGGTGATGTCGATATCAAAGGTTGTGCGTTGTCCCTTCGTTGCCTTCTACTTCGTCCGTAAACGAGATATCATTTTCTCCGCACTGTCTTTCGAAGTTGTCAGCAAATGCTTCCGCTTTCTCATTGGTCTGTGTAGATGATTCCTTGCTAGCCGTGTATAGGCAGACATGGTTTTTGGTGTCCTTTCCTAAAAACTTCTGCATTCTCCATGCAGATTGATCTTCGGTGTCGAGATCTTCCAGACGGGTTGTCCATTGTCAGTCTCGAATTGCACACAGCGTTTGCTGCAGGATTCTGTCGGCTCTGTGCATACTCCTTTTGTCCATTGGAGCACGTATCCGTTTGTATCCTCTCTTCAGGCGTCTTCTGATCCTGATCCGCTGTAATGTGGTTCTCCGAATTGAAGTACGCAGCTGGGACTTCCTGCGCGCTTCTCTCCATAGTTTGGATAATCGCCTGTTGTAGCTGCGTTGTGACATTCTCGAGATCAGTTCTTGTTTCAATGCGTGGGATAACTCGTATCGCGTCGTGAACGGTGCGCTAAAATCTGCTCCAGTTGATGATTCTCTTTGTCGGATAATCTGGTTCCTCTTCGCCTCTTCCTATTGTGAGCAGGACGGGTTGTGGTCTGACAATTCTTCGTCATCTCCGATGTAGGAATGTTTTGCACTATAGCGACGTCGAGAATGTTTGAAACTTGTTCTTCTTGTGAGTAGTGCATTGGGGCTTCTGAAGCTACTATCGCGGTGTCCTCTAATTTTTCTAGCAGCCTGGCTAGTTGTCTGCCTCTTTGATTTCCGTTCCTGTAGTTCCAATCGCGCGACTTCGCATTGAAGTCGCCTTTGGTTACCGTTGGATGGTGATCTGGGAACATTTCTGTTATGTCGGTTCTCTATAGTATTCTCTGCGTTGACAGGTACACCGACGAAATCCTCAGCTGTTCTTAGCGTTTCAGTTTAACTCTGATCGCTACTGCCTATCCGAAGTATAGTTCCGGATTTCTATCTTCATTATGCGCTAGTTTTTTCTTTACTAATAGTGTCGCGCTCCCTGCGGCGTGGCGCCCCCTGGCCTGTCTGTTCTATGAGTATTGTATCCTGGGATTCGAAAATTCGTGTGGTTTCTGAGCATTGTCTCCTGGAGTACCATGACGGCTATGTTCAGCCGTGATAGCACTTCCATAAGCTCTTTTTTTTCTGTAACGCCGTTTATGTTTCATGGACCGATTTTTAGGTTTTCTGGAATCCGTGCTGGCATTATTGGTTTCCGGGTGCTGCCAGTAGTGTAGTTAGTACCGCTTGCGCGATCTTTTGCTGCTCGGTCGAAAGTTTTGGACTCATTTCTCCGAGATCTGATTATTTATAGGTCATTCCAGTACTTTCACCTACCCCCTCTTTTCACTCTCCGCTGCATCGGTTTCAGTGGGAGCTGACCATTCGGCTAGAGTTGGTAATGTTTCGCTTGATTACAGCGTATCTCTACGCTAACTTGGCTGAATGCGTTGTTGGAAAACATACATGCGGCTTCTTTGAATTTTCTCCTGAACCAGTGTTCCTCCTTGTGTATGATTTCAGCTTGAGACCACTTGATGTTATGTTGATGAGTCCAAACATGCTCTGCCATTTCTGATTTGCTGGTTACTCGCTGTGTGTGTTTTTTATGCTCGGCAATGCAAACTTTCAATGACCTCTTAGTTCCACCGATGTATGATTCTATGCACTCGCAGGGTATCCGGTAAATACAATTCTTAGAATCGCAGTCCGCATTTGGTGGCCTAGTTTTCGTGAGGCTGCTACGAATACTGTTCCCAGATCTAAAGCAGGTTCTGATGTTATACTGGAACCCAATTCTTCTTATCCTTTTCGACAATCCTCTGATGTAAGGAAGTACAAGTACTGGTTGTGGCGACTTCTCTTACACCAGAGACTCTTGCTGTCTTCAAGCCAAAGTCTGTTCCACCACCACTTTGGAGTAACCATTCCGTTGAATGTAATTTTTGATGATGCCTAGTTTTTTTTTCAAGACCTTCCTTTGTATTACAGAGCTCGAAAGAACGATCTACTAGAGTCTTGATGATTCCTTTCTTAGTCAATTGATGGTGGTTGGATTCCTGGTTCAGATACTGTCTAATTTCACTGGGTGACTTCCAAAGAAAAACATCATCATCAAATATATTTTTCAGGATATTCAAGTAGACAAATTTTCAAAAAAAAACAAATATTTCCGTTTCAAAAGTTACTGATCATAGAAGAAATATATGACAAGTGAAACACATAAATATGAACAATATCTTGTTCTTTGTTTAATGTTTCAAAATTATTTCGAAACATGGATGAACATTGGAAAATAGTAGATTGTTAACCCAAATGACTTTTTAGAATGAAAATCATCTTACTTTAATGAACGAATTCATGTAGATGTACGAAACGTCAAGTCAGAATTGAATTACATTTTAATATAAAAAATTGAGATATCTGATCAGTGTAGAGTTATATTTCAAAGTTTGTTGTCGACAGTTCCACAGCGACTGGCGGTCGGTGTATACCTAGCACTTGAGTCAACACTGTTGAGCCGGTAAGTGAATTCTCAATATTCTCATCAGTCCTTCTGATGGGAAATAAAACCGTTAAAAATGAGTCCCAAAAGCTAGTAGGCTCACCTATACATTGAAGAGCTCCCAGATTTTTCTGAAGCTGATCTAAAAAGGCGCGAGTAGAAAACTCTTTTCAAATGGAAGGTAGATCAATTAGTGATTTGATGTAAGCACCGCGAATGAACTTACGATCGCCGTATCTCTCTTTTAACAAATTCCATGATATCTCATAGTTTTGAGCCGATGATTCAATAGATGAGATGACCTGTGCTGCTTCGCCTGAAAGGCAGCCTTCCAAATAGTATAATTTTTGAATTGGGGGTATACTACTGTCTTGGTGGACAAGTGAGTTGAAAATATCATGAGATTCTAGCCAGTTATCAATAGAACCAGGGTTGGAATATAAGTTATATGGTACTTGAAAAATAGGTTCAGTCACTGCAGAAGCTGCGGCTTGTAGTGTAATCACTTTCAATAAGGTATTGTTTTCATTGCTAGAAGGATTGGCTTCACCTTTTGTTTGTTCCGCTTGCTAATTAGATAAAGAAAGCGAAGGGGAGTAGCTAGTAGATTTGATGCAATAGAAAACCTATCAAAATATTGCTCTTCAAAATTTGTGCAATAATCGCTTAATTCTTCCGATTCATCAAGAATTAACTCAGATTGACAGGTTTCAATAAGTTCAAGAGTTGTTTTTATTTTTCCATACCGTTTTTCTAGAGCGGGAAAGTCTTTCGACGGATCAAAGCGCGATAAGAATTTTTCATGATTTGTGAGAGATCGCTGGGCAACTCCACGTTTAGTTTTTTATTGCTTTATTTTGCCCGACAGATATTTCAATGCTTAATCAGTTACTGAACAAGAAATAGAGAATGTTTATAAGATTAATTATATGGATAGATTTGTTTTGATTGTTCAAGTGTGATCTGATAGACTTAATTCTAATAAAAAATGAATTGATTTAGTGAGAATGGAATATATGAAAAGGATAAGATAGGATAGTTCAAATGACTTACTGTGACCACTGACGATTTTGACGAGATATCGATGCTGCAGGGCGTGAATTCCTTGGATAGATTGATACCCGCTACTTGGGCTGCTGTACGCAAAGGATTTTCAGCACTTGAAATCCTAGAACTGGTATGCTGCTGCTTCGGGGTTGTGCAAGATTGCACTGATGTCGATAGTATGGTGTTTACTGTTCACTTACAGTTTCAAGTGAAAACTTGAAAATTATTATGAATATTTTTAATCAATTTTAAAAATATCCTGCTCGAAGGACCAATGTTTTGACCCACGATTGTTTTATCGCACAAGAATTACATTAACTCTTGTGAAAAGATAGAATGAGAAAAATAACTGGCTAGATGTACTGTAGACAAGACAATATTTAATTCTTACTGAACTCTTACAAGGTTTGTAACGTAATGAATGATGTGACAAAATGCAATGTTTCACATCGGTAGTTAGACAAGGGGTCAGATTCGTCATTGTAGGGATAGACAGAGGTTTGGATTAACATAGGTAGGAAAGGTCATAATTCCCAAGATAAGAGATACAAGTAACAATTAAGGAATTTAAAAATCTAGCTATTTGTAGCATACAATATTTACGTGAAATGCACTTAAATATACGGGTTGCTTGAGAAAAGACATTCGAAAAGACCAGTACATTAGAAGACCAACTGGAAACCCCCAATTGGGAAACTCTTGGGAATAATGAAAGATTAAATAAATCTGTTTTGTTGTACAGATTTTAGAGCTGGCAACTCTAGGCTAAAGACTAAGAAAATTAAGATTCAATTGAAAAACTTAATGACGATAGCAACATTTTGAGACCGAACACAGCTTATAATCAAAACAAATTGTTGTTGATACACGGATATAACTAGATTCAGTATCAACCCACCAACTGTTGAACAATAAATTTACTGAAAATATGATTTTCATTTCTATTTTATAGAGAATTTGGAGAGAAAATTCACTGATTTTAGCTTTTGGACGGATGAATGTATTCATGAGATCATATTCATCAGAGTAAATGTTACATATCCCATCATTTTTAAAAATTTCTCTCCAAAGTAACCGCCATTAATTTAGAATATACGTGTATTCTGAATAAGCCATTACCTACCTGCTGTCAAACGAGTAATGATTAGTTTAAAAAATGTATGGAGTAGAAAAACGTATATTCCAATACAGCTTGAATACTCGATCTGCTGAATGTCTATGTTTATCTAGTTCAGCGTCTGAAAGAGCTCTTCGAAGCTTTTTCAAGAATATCAATATTTTCCCTCACGCCAACATCAAAATAGCAGTCGATATTCTGAATTTTTATTCATAACAGAGAATGAGTATTATATAATAAAATATCGTATTCTTTATAAATATTTTGCTGTGGCAGGGCTGAGCTGAAAGATATCTTTCCACAATGTCATTCGTTCTGATTCTGGATTTGTTTGCATCGTAAGCTCGCTTCCAATATCCAAAAAATTCACGGAATCTTCTTCAACAGGTTTCCATATAATATTTAAATCGGTTCCTTCAGGGGTTGGATTGCCGTATTTGGCAAAATTGGTCCACATGTTCAAGAATCGCTGCATAGCCTTTGTTTCAAGCTCTCCCATTTCAACATCAGGAGAAACTGAATATTTGAACAAATATCCAAGATCATCAGCATGGCTTACACCTGAAATGAAAATTAGGTTGTTGTAGTTATACAAAACGTTCAATTTCTGCTTTTTTTTTCTCAACTTTGATAATAACACTGAAATTGAATCATTCATAATTCGAATTGAAAAGAATTTAATGATTATGATGTCTATTCAGAGGTGAATGCTGAGATGCGCTCTTATTTCAGAATTAGTTGTAGACCGAGTGGAGCAGTTATAACGTTATCGCAAGATGGTCAATAATATTATCAATTTCAGTCATCAATTAATCCTTGATGGATGATGTTAATAATACTAATTTTTTTGGAAGAAATAAGTGAGGTTATTCATTGACGTATTAAGATTGTGTCAAATTTATCTTCAGCGATGGATTCATCCGGCGACATTGCTTTTTACATATATACTCCAAAAGTGATGTTCAAGTATATGGTTGTTTGAGGTACCTAAGTTAAAGACACTTCTTGAAATATTTTAATAAAGCAAAATAACCAATAGACGAGAAAGAAAAATAAGCATTTCAATATCAATGAAACGACAATTAAAATGTGTTGATAGAAATATAAGCACAAAAGGTTTGTATGATTTCTTTAAAAGTTGAACGTAATTCATGTCTCACTATTAGCCGATCTATATAGGCCAATCTATATAAGATGTTGATAGGTGTGTTTTGTTACCACTTATATTAGATGTTTCATATCAAGTTATTCACACCAAAAGTTGATGGCCGTCTCTTCTTGACATATTTTGATCGAGCAGAGAAAGCGAATAACTTCAAACAGATCGGACAACTCTGTAATAGACCATTGCCAACGAAACGCACCTACAATCACGAGAGAGGATCCATAGATGTGTAATATTTTAAATTATTTGTAAAATATATCCATTTATTTCCTCTAGGCTGACAGTGGGGCAAACGTGATAATTCTAGATTTTCATAGATTGTATCACGTCCAACATATATGTATGTTAATTTCCAGGTTTTGGACCGTATTGGCAGGGGGGTCAGGTATGGCAGGTAATGTACCTACTCTGGTAGGACCGTGCATGGGTTACTGAAGATTTCAAAACACTTATTACAATTTTGATCAAATCATTTGGGCGCCAAGTGGTTTTTGAACCCCTTGCTGTTAACCAACCACCAAAATCAACTACTCAGCAGTCCCTTGCCCAACAAAAATGAATTGTTGAGAGTTATAAAATATATATTACTATATGAAACGATATAGACAACTTACTACATTGATACTGGTCCCTACCTTATATAATTGGGGACTCTTGCAAGAGTACAAAAAGTATAGAGAATATATACTTCACTAGGAAGGAGATATTGGCCTTATTGACATCTCAACAACAGTACCATAACTATCACTATTACTACTATCATTACGAATTATGACTATTATAATGATTATTGCTTTAGTAATGAAAATAAGTAAAATAATTGAAGATTGAAAAAAGAATTATCCTCTACGAGGTACTCATCCGTGATCCTTGTTCTTTAATGCGTTCAATAGATGAACTTCTCCTTTCAAACTAACAGCTCAGTTCGTCTTTCCATTGAATAAGCCACACTGTATCTCAAATGAAGATACAGAAAAAAATTTTCACCTTTCCTGCTTGATAACAAATATACGATATAGCACAAAAACATATCTGAGTGTCGAGTCTTCTAGCACATCAATTACGCTTTTTCCAACAACCGTACAGCAGATACCGATCCAAATTTAATGTTTCACAGTATTGGTATGCCCAATACTGTGAAACAGACATAACCATAAATAACACCAATATTGCATAAGGCACTTTCAATGACTTATCCGTATAATACGATACCTAACAATTTTGTTCATTCATCTGTTTAAAAGAAAATCTGTTTCAAATCTGTTTTTCCTTTAATCAGCTGTCGCCCCCATACGAACGACAACTCTCTGAAGTTGAGAAACTTGTGCGAGCTAAGGACTAACGAGGTCTTATCTTTTAACGTGTGATTCCTTACAGCCGATATCTATTTAACCTTCTCACAAAATCTCCGCGGATCCCGTCTCGAATTCTCTGGTGTTTTTTTTCCGCGCGCAAAAAGTATTCCTTCGACTTCTATATGTCAAATGAATGAAATATAGATAGTATATGGATATATACCGTAACAATGAAATGGGAAGTTATATTCAATCACTTTGATTATCCATGAACAAATACCGATTTTCAGCGATCAACTGAGTAAATTCTTGGAAGTTGTAAATACAGTTACTAGATCATCTTATGACAGACTTTTGTAAAATTAGTAGTTTAACTATGTATGTTTGAGCTGCATTACTCCAAGATGAAGTAGCATACCGAAGGTGTGAGTGGAATAGGCAGTAATAAGAAGTTAGCGCTGCTCTTCGATTTAGAAGGTCTCGAACTTTTTTAATAGTAAAAACAGCCTTGGAGAGTTTAGTACACAAAAAATTTACAAGTTGTGACCACTGGAGGTGACACATTTCCATACATTTCTGCCTGATTAGCAGAATTATTTGGCCTACAATCAAATTTTAGGCTTACAGTTTTACTATCATCCAGTATGAATTCATTGCTGGCGAACCATGTATGTGCTTGTTGTCTGACACCATCTTGGGCTATTTTGAGATCTTCATCCCTTTCTATACTGATTGTGAATGTAGCATCATCTGCAAAGAGTACAGATAATCTGTTATGTGCAGCCACATTATGGGGTAGGTCAGAGGTCCCAAGATTGAACCTTGAGGTACTCCCCTTTCAATTTGTAGGAATTGACTTTTCCCATTATTGCACTCCACTCGCTGTATTCGGTTGGTCAAATACGAAGTGAACATTTGTTGACAGGTTCCACGAATGCCATAGTAGCTCATTTTGTTTAATAAAGTTGAATGATTGATTGAATCGAAGGCACAAGTAAGATCCGTGAAGATACCCAGACATTGTTTGTTTTTGTCAAAACTTTCTTCAATAAATTTGGTAAGGGACATTTTGGCATTGGCAGTCGAGACTCCTTTCCTAAAGCCATATTGTTCTGCTACAAGTATATTGTGAGTATCTAGATAGGATGTTAAGTCATTATACATTTTTTTCTCCAAGATTTTAGAAAATACTGGCAGTATGGATATTTGTCTAAAATTTATACCTTTCCAATTTTCAATTCCGAAGGAAAATTGCCTTGTTCTAGACAACTGTTTGTTATATTGCATAATGGATCCATTATAAAATTCACACATTTTTTTAAATAAATGTAGATATTCCATATATGTCTTCAGTTTTTTTATTCTTGAGTCCCATAATGATTACTCTGATATCATCAGGTGTAGTTGGTATGAAAAACATAGAATTGATGAAAATCCTTTTCAAATTATCCAATAAAGATTCGGCACTAATATAAGTTTTGTTCAACTCTTGAACAGTTCTTGTCGCGTTACTTACAAAATGATCATTTAGGTCATCTACTGACAAGTCAGTAGGCTAAACTATCTTTTTTTTTTCCTTCCTGTTTCACTATTTATAATTTGCCATACAATTTTATTATAATCTTCTGATTCTTGTAATAATTTCTCATTGTGGACTTTTTTGGCAGATATTGAGATTTGATTGTATGCTTTTTTGAAATCTGTATAATTTTTTTTATTTTCTATAGTTGGATGTTGTTTAGAAAATGTATGAAGAAAAAGAAGATTATTTTTAGCTGTCATTACTTCATCGGTGATCCAATTCTGTGTTTTATATTTCTTATTACTAGGGGGTACTGAAAAAGACATATTGTGATAATATAAAAATGTATTATGGAAATGAATGTATTTGTCTTGGGCCGATGGAGAATCGTATACTTCCACCCAATTTTCCTTACTTAAATAATTTAGAAATGTGTTTATCATTAGTGTAACTTTTATTGCTAGTAGAATGTACAGGGATATTTCACCCCGTGTGGTCACCTGGATCTACACTGCAATAATAAGACCTTCGTTAACGTACGGAGCCATTGCATGGGGAACGAAAGTTTTACAAGAAACGGCCATCCAAAAATCATATCAAATACAGCGACTGGCTTGTTTAAATATCACAGAGCCATAAGAACAACACCAACCGCAGCAATGGAATTAATTACGGGTCTGACCCCTCTGGACCTGTACGTTAAGGAGGTTGCGTTAATGGCCATGTTACGATTGCGCACGGCTGGTGTGAACCTCGAAGTAGGTATGTATCAATTGAGGCTGAGCCTATGGCGAAAAGCGCCTACTGCGCAACCTCTGCTGCAGGCAACAGTGAGAAAATACAAATAAAACAGAACACAGAGTCAGATGCTACAAATGCAATACGCATATATACAGACGGCTCAAAAACCAAAGAAGGCTAAGGATGTGATACTCCAGAGCACTAAGCCTAAGGATTAAGTGGATAATTGGAAAAAATTCCAGCGTGGTCCAAACAGAACTGGCTGTTATCTCAATCACCACAAAAGAAAAATAAGCAGAAAAGTAATTTCTAGCAAAAACATAACAATCTGCACTGTCTGTAGCAGACAAGCCCTGTTAGCCTTGAAGAGACAACGGGTTACCTCAGGGCTAGTACTAGAGTGCCACCAAGATTCAGCCAAAGACTCGGTAGATAATAACATTATCCTGAGGTGGGTTAAATGGCACGACAGGAGTGAAGGTAATCGCATTGTCGACTGTTTAGCCAAGGAAGCGGCTGGACTGAGAATTTTAGAACCCAGTGGCACCTACGACCTGATGACTACGACAATTGCGGGACTAGTCAAATGTTACACCCATGCTCAATTCGTGAAGAGATGGAATGGAATCAAATGATGCAATTTCGCCAAGATTACCCTGGGCGACCCTGGAAAGCTGGCGCCGAAGAAATATCTGGCGATGACCAGGAAAAATCTACGCCTAACAATGAGAATTCTGACTGGCCACTGTCAACTAAGGAAACACCTGCATAATATGTAGCTAGTGGACACACCTCTATGCAGGATGTATGAAAAAGAAGATGAGACTGTCAGGCATGTCCTATGCGAGTGCCCGGAGTTATCGTCAATATGAGAGTGTGTGACCGGCAAGTCTTGGCCTACACCTCCCGATATAAAGGAGATGTCTCCCAGTGACCTGTTCACCTTCCTCCTCGGGAGGATGTACAATGGGTCACATGTGGCCTAAGTGCTGTGGGCTTACACTCACCCTCCCGACTCTACAGATACAGATATGAAAGATATTGATGAAAGTTGATGAAATATTTGATTTTGTGCGTAAGTCTCGTCTAGATGTATGAAATTATTTGAAGGAAAATCAGGCAATATATATCGAGTAGATATTATGGGAGAGATTTTTTTTCCAATGGTTAATTTTTTTAGAGTCAGTGTTCGTAAGAATATTCTCAAAATGATGTAACTTAAAAAACCTGCTAAAGCGTTCATTGAAGAGTTGTAATCCTCACCTGGTAAACCATACAGTTCAAATATTCTTTTCATCAGGTTCAAATTAGTCTCCACAGACATCCTATAGAGGTAAACTGGTTCTTGCGAAGTTTTTGAGTGAATTTTCGCGGAACCTACAATTCCTGCGACGAAAAAATAATCCGAATGCAACTGAAAAAAAAAATTATATTGAATTACTATTTTTAACATTCCCATATTGTTGGTAGTTTGACCAATTAGCCGACAACTGCGGTTGCAGAAATTTGGGAAGCTAACCTGAAATGCCATTGGAAAACAAATCCACATGTTTCTAGAAATGATATGAAATCGAAAAAGGTTAATGCAGTCAAGCTGCTGGAAAATAATTCCATGAAAATTAGCCAATCAGCCGCAGTTGTCGGCTGATTGGTCAAACCACCAACACTGACATAGTTGGGCTGTTGTTTAAAGAATACTCTTTGTTATATGGTCAAGCTTTCGAGAATGTTTATTCCCTTTATCAAGACATGTACAAGAAATTGAAAATATTGCAGCCAAATTGTAAAACAAATAGATAAAAATGGTACTTATTAACTTGAGCTTATAGTGAAAAGTCAGACGTTGCAATGATAAAAACAAAGTGAATACTTTTCATCATGTACAAAAGTGTCACACATCAAATTTTTATGTTTCAGAGGAAAAATACAAAACTTATTTCATTTTAACATTCGAAATATTTGAAATTTTAAAATTATTTCACTGGCCATGCATGGCACTTACTGGTGGCGTGGTAGCAACCATAAAGAAAGAGAAAACAGGAAATATTTGAAAATTGATAATTGACATTATGACATTTGGAGTGTGAAAAACAAAAACAGAATTACCAAAAGGCACAACAACAGCATGGTTGACACTAGCAAATTCCAAAGTATCTGAATATGGGTACAGTGCTTCAAAGTACTCATAATTGAAGTGAATGACAGACTCAGCACTGCGTTCAAACCCACACACTATATGTTGCTTGGGGAACCTGGGGGAATGAGTTCCAATTTTAAGATGTAATTATAAATGTTGCTGAGGTTGTTGATCTCAGTCTTTTTGTTCAAGGTTATTGGTATTTCTTTTGATAAAGAACATTTCTTCAAACAACCGTTTTTGTAAGTTGCTTTCAGTACACAAAACTCTAACTTCGGTGTAATTCATTGTGTGCTTTGTGTTGATGACATGTTCTGCAAGTGCATAGGTGGTTTTATTCGTATTACAATCACTTTTATGTGACGTTATGCGTCCTGATAAAATTCTAGATGTTTGACCAACATATGTCACATGTATGACAAGGAATTTCATATACTACATTTGACTTTTCTGAAGTTTTCAACGGAGTTTTAATTTTGAAAAAAAAATCTATTCGTAGTGGTGACAATGTATTGAGCAAATTTAATATTTTCACTCTTGAAAACGTTCATGAATTTGGGTGTTGAGGACTAAAAATATGGTAATATTTTGAAAAATAATGAATTTAGAGGTATATCTCCACTATTTGACATATTTAAATTATTATCATTTATGGGATTAATTAAATTATTCCCTGTGGAAAAGGGGTTGGAAAGTAGTTTGTTCAAAAGTTTATAAGGATATGAATTTTCAAGGAGAATACCTTTTAGTTCTTTGATACATTCATCTTTAAAAAGTGGATGTGTTAAATTGGTCACCCTGTTTTTCATGGTAAGGACTAAGTTTATTTTCATCTTCGTAGGATGGTAAGAATGATAGTTCTGTAACATGTTACTTGCACATGGTTTCCTATACCATCTTGTACGTAGAACTTTATCTGGAACACGCATATCTAAGAATGGTAAACTGTTGTTACCTTCCTCTTCAGCTGTAAATTTCAGATGCTCGTTGTAACTGTTAAACGTTGTTAATGCTTCCTCAGTTCTCTCACGAGGAACAGATAGGATCAAATCGTCCACGTAACGTTTAATGAAAGGAATATTAAAAGGGATTCTATCTTTTCCATTCATAATTAGGTCATCTAATACAAAATTTACTAAAATGGGGGAAATAGTTGAACCCATTGGGGTACCAAAAATTTGTTTATAGAAAGTATCCTGAAAAACTAGGACATTGGAGTCAAAAATATACTCTAAAATCGATTTGAAATTTGGAAAATCAAGCATACAATGCTAAGAGATGACATCCCAGTGATTTTTTAAGCTATTAATTATTACATATTGCCTTTTTACAAAGGCAAATTTGTAAGAAGTGAAACTACATCGAAACTCACTAAAACATAGTCTTCAGGAAGTTTATAATAGTTAATGAAATTACTGAAGGAAATAGAATCTTTCACATAAAGTTCGTTGTCAGTATTATATGACATAGACAGAATATTGGCCAACCATTTAGCCAGTTTGATGTTAGGTGAATTTATTGATGACACAATGGGTCTCATCGAGAGTTCAGGTTTGTGTACTTCAGGCAAAGAGTAAAATCTAGGAATTACTGCATTATAGATGGTCAGCTTTAAACAACAACAACAACTATCAGGCACCTGTACAACGTCTTCCATTTGGAACATATGTCACAAGTTACTTCCTATATATGAAAAACAGGAATCAATTTCATTTGATCGGGAAGACCATCGATAGACCGGTTTTGGAGTATTAACTCCTCGTCAGTACCGGGGGTCATTTCAGTCGGAGTGAACCGTCCGAGTATCCTGAACAAATAACATATATTCCAACTAGTCATGAGCTATATCTGCAGTTAATTCAGTAGGATGTGCCACTGCACCACATGCTGACAAAGTCCGTAAATAACTCCACAAACACATAATCCGGAGTGGTAGTCAGAATGATAATTGAATATCTTCCAAAGAGATGCATATGATATGCTCCAATTTAGGTGAAAACACCATACTCTTGCCTCTCATGTGAACCTACGACTTTGTAGGTACGTGTGGCAGATACCCAACAGTAAAACAACAACTAACCCTGCTAATGCCGCGCAGGAAGCTAAAGTAATACCACCAGGCACCTGTGCAACGTCTTCCATTCGGTATATCTGTCGCAAGTAACTCACAATATATGAATAGCAGAAATTAACTTCATTTGATGGGGACGACCACCGATAGACCAGTTTCGGAATACTAGCTCCTCGTCAGTAGCAGGGATCATTTCAGACGTAGTGAACCGTCTGAGTGTCAATATGATTTCGAACTAGTCATAAGCTTTATCTGCAGTTGATTCTGTAGGGTGTACAACTGCGTCACCTGTAGACAATTTTCGAAAACAACCCTACAAACATACTCCGAGGCGAGAGTCAGAATGATAAATAAATAAACATCTTCCGGAGAGGCGCATATGACATGCTTCAGTCTAGGTGAAAACGCCATACCCTTGCCTTTTATGTGAACCTACGACTTTGAAGGTATGTAGCCTTGAAAGGCCTTATGCATCTTCAATCTCCCTAGTGTGATTTTCCTGTCAATTTCATAAATGGTGTCTTCGTGAGGGAGTCATCATAATTACTCAAGGTTGTCTTTGTTGAGGACAGATTGTAACATGGCTGTACCGATTGAGCTCTGTTATCACCTATTTAGCTATTTGTAGTGAGGGATGGAGAAGACAAAGGAGAAATTTATATCTTCCTATCTGTAGTGAGGCGTGAAGAAGACAGAGGAGAAATTTCTATTCAGGGAACAATGTCGCGAAAAGTCAACTGAGGGGTGTTCTCTTCAGGGATAAATGTGTTCAAACGTTCCTGCATGAATCGACCCATCAATAATACATGACAGGTTGAAATAACGTTACCTGCTACCGAATCTGTATGTAGCGTTTCATCTCTGGGATCACCTAATTCAGATTATTTTCATTATTACGATTAAGGATAACTTAATAACTTAGGATTAAGAATAACTGCAAATGTATTCCAAGCAAGTTCCAACATTTAAGTAGGTACTCTCATCTTTCATGGACATATATCAATTGAGATGAAAGTTGGAACCATATCTCAAACACATCTCATTTATGATCCAAAGACGAGCTTGAGTGAGTAAGTACGAAGACGCCATGTATGGGATCGACAGAAAACTCAATCCCTGAAGATCAAAGATGAAAGAGGCTCTCCAAGGGCGGTTATTTGCAAAACCAAGACTAAACTGCCGACTTGATTCGTCCTTTGTCTGCAGCTTTCACTGCAAAGAAACTATCGGTAACCAAAACCCAAACACATAGCTTCTATGACCAGACAGCGCTATTTCGACTGAGCATTGATGCGTTGAAAAGAAATGTTCATCAATGCTATGTGTTTTGGATTTCATTATGAAGGTTTGGTGTACAAATTGCATAAGAAAATGGAATTTGTGATTTTTTTCTAAATATATATATGAAAGTAGTGGTTTGGTGTACAAATTGAAAAACAATATTTTTTGTGTATTCATAGAGGGAAGCATTCATTTCAGATAGACCTTTTCTGTCACTCAATGTCTGTAAGAAACTGCGAATAGCTCTAATGATAGATGAATTTGTCGAAAGTTTTTTCATAATATTATAAAATCGAAACTACTTATATAGAGGATATATTCAGTAGTGTGTTACGTACACACTTGATTCGTGTAAATTTTTGTCCCAAGTGCAGTCAATAATTATTTGAAAGAGTTCACATTGAAGAGTAGTCACAGAACTGATCGGAATTACTAAACTCAAGTGTAGGAGTAGGTGGTCTAATATCGAGCAGCGGACAATATCGACCACTACAATTTTTCTAAAGTAGAGCGTAATTTCACTACTCTAATACTCGTACGTGCTACCACCTTGCGACATAGTTGCCAAACTACCGAAAACCCATGTGATCAGTCAGACGTTCAGTTCTATGAATATAACAAAGTTGTTTTTTCGCCGATTTTTCACGAATTGTTTGCCTGAGGAAATAAGGTTTGTACTTTTTTTGTGTTACTGTTCTGAAATTTTGTTCTAACCAATATTATTAGTGTGTTTGTTTAAAGTTCTGTATTTCGAACTGTTATTGAACCGTCCCGTATCGATGCCGAATCAATGCGCAGAACATTACAGTCACAGAAGAGTTCTGGAACGGTCCCAACAAGTAAAAAACCAAAATATAAAAAAAAATTATTCTGGCAAGTGTATAAACAAAGATTGGAGGTTAGGTACCTCTACTCTGGTATAACG